TTTGCTGTGACACAATGGTTATCACAGGGATTCCTGGCATGCCAGGTTTAAATATACAAGCCCTGAGCCTGGCAATGTGCTGGCACCTTACAAATTCATATCATTAAATCCTCCCCTAAAACCCTAGGGCTAGATAGCCTCAACATGTGACAGACAGGACAATAGTTGTCTGGAAGGATAAAAACCTCAACTCGGGCCATACAAACTGGATCTCCGATCCATGTTCTTACCTTGCCCCTCTGAGAAGCAGTGAGATCAGCGTCACAGTTATCACAAAATTAGGGTTAGGCACCAGTCATCACAGATCCTTATTTTCCTCTTTAACCACCTTGTTAATTCAAATATAATTAAATTCTATGACAGCTACTGAGTATAACTACTTATACAGCAGATTTAAATCATTATAATTTCACACTATGCTCCATGTCTGGAGACGTTGCTACCCAGCTTGACAAGGGAAGAAACATAAGAAGCTATAACCACCCTGTAAAAATCTAACATTGAAAGATGGTCACAAATCACAGGGTTCCACACAAAGGCACGGATTTGAAAGAAATAAAATAAACTACAGGTTTTTCTATTTTCTGCTTAAATCTCTGTTGTGTGCAGAAACAGATTTAAGTGGCATAAATCAGAAAATGATAATGAGAACTGAATGAAATTGTCATAAATCACGTTACTAAGTATAGTTACATCTGAGATGTAAAACCCAATTAAACAGATGGCCACATGCTGTCAGAATCAGCCCCTAATCAATAAAGATGTTCATTTTAGAGAATCACCTCAATTTTTCACTTCTTCAGTGAAGCAAAAAGAAGGCAGTTGTAGGGTGGGGGAAGTCCCAGGAAACCCAGTGGGGAAATGTGCAAGAAGAAACTCCACCTGTCTTAATTTTTAGTCCAGAAAATCAGAAAGGAGAGACGGAAAAAAAAGGTCACCCAAAGGATTCCTTGTCATCTTGCCTGGGAATATAATTTACAATGAGAGCAAGCAGTGGTCATTAGGAAAACAGAAACAGCTTGCTTGAATCTCTTAATTAAAATACTGTTTCAAATTGTTCGTTTTAAAAACTCCTCTGCCCATAAACTTTCACGAAACCACTGCGTTACCCTGAAATGGCTTCTTCCTCAGTAAACCTCTGATAGGATTAGTCCTTCCTAGACAAGAAAAAGGCTGAGCAGGGGTGAACCCTGGAGATGGAACTATTATTAGACACACTTAAGTCCCCCAAGGAGAAGTAAGCCTTCGCTGACATTTTAAAGTGAATGTAGAAACAATGGCTTTTCTTGCATAAGAGCTGATCTCTTACACTCACTAGACTGGTGAAAATTAAGTCACCGATGCTGAGAGCTGTTAAAAATGAGGAGCAACAGAAACACTTCTGGACTTTAGAACACCAGCTTTGGAAAACATCTGATGTTATCTGGTAGATAACTTCTTCCTACCAGCCAAGAATGCCAGTCCTGGGTGTATACCCTCAGATACTTGTTTCAATAAATATTCATAAGAATATGCAGAGCAGCACTGTTCATAAGCAAAAGCCTGGGTGTGGGGACACATAGGTCAGACAATAGAAGAATAAACAATCTGGGGGTACAGTCATGAAATGAAATATTATACAGCAGTGAACATGAAAACCACCTACCACCACATGCTACATGGGCAAATCCTAAAGACATGTTGACTGAAAACACAGTTAAATTGCATACAGTAAGATGCCATTTTTATTATACTAAGAAACAAGTAAAAATAAACAACATGTTGTTTAGGGATACCTATATAAATAAAGTTTTGTTTTAAAAAAATCGACACTCATATCACAAGAGTGTTACGTCTGTGATGAGAGGAGGGATGGTTCCTGATTGGGCGAGGGCCTCATAGGCACATACTGATTTTGTCATGTTTTCATAAATTCTTTATAACTTACATGTGCCAAAATGCTACATATGTTCTTTCGCATGTACCAAATATTAGACAATAAAATATTTTAGGTGAAAAATCTAAACAATTTCTATTACCCAATATTCTAAATGTTATTATAATTGATAACATATTAAATTAATTATTGTAAGTATTACTTATAATTAATAACTCACATATCATAAGATCCCATATAAGATATGCAACTTGGTTCTCAAGTTGGCATTTAGGACCTTAAGAAAGCAATGATACTTTCATTATAATGAATATTTATATAGTAAGAAGTGACATTCAAAATATTTAACAACTTACTTGGTTATGTAAATTAATGTATAAATAAAAAATTCCCACCATCTGCTTGTCTTCCTCCTTTCTGTTGTCGGGCAGAGACTGCCATTCCTAATAGTGGCCACACGAGGGCGGCTCTAAGAAGATGTGCCAGCTGGTAGTGAGCCGCCACAGCCTTCCGGCTGTCCCATCTGACCAGAGTCCTGAAGTGACAACAGCCAGTATGGTGGACCCATGACAGACTGGCCGACTGGCCAGAAGGAAAGCAGGATGCCTCACTGAGAAGGTGGCCTGGACTTTGAATAAAGATTTGAAGGAAATGAGAGCATAAACCTAGCAGGTCACTTGGGGAAGTTTTCCAAGAGAAAGCGAACCCCAGGTATAAACCCAAGAGCAGCGTGTGTCAGATGTGCTCTATAAACACAAAGGAGGCCAGCGTGGCTGGAAGAGGAGGAGGAAGGAAGGGGGAAAGTAGGAGGAGGCACAGGCAGAAAGATCACAAGCCTCAAGGCCATTATAAATAATTTGGCTCGGCCAGGTGCAGTGGCTCAAGCCTGTAATCCCAGCACTTTGGGAGGCCAAGGCAGGCAGATCACCTGAGGTTGGGAGTTCGAGACCAGCCTGACCAACATGGAGAAACCCCATCTCTACTAAAAATACAAAATTAGCCAGGTGTTGTGGCACATGCCCGTAATCCCAGGTACTCGGGAGGCTGAGGCACGAGAATTGCTTGAACCCAGGAGGCAGAGTTTGCAGTGAGCCAAGATCAAGCCATTGCACTCCAGCCTGGGCAACAAGAGTGAAACTCTGTCTCAAAAAAAAGTGGCTCTTCCTCTGAGTGAGATGGGATGCAAAAGAGTGACACAATGTGATTGTAAAACATCTTAAAATCACTACAATATATTTAGAATAGACTGAAGGTGGGTAAAACAAAAGCAGGGAGGCCAATGAGGGGGCTATCATCATAATCCAGGTGGGAAATGGTAGTGGTATGAACAAGGGTGGTAAATTCCATCCCCTGCATTCAACACTGTAGAACTGTGATCAAAACCATGAGATCAGATGTTATCACCAAGCAAATGAGCAAAGATGGAGAGAAGAGAACAGAAAAGGTGCAAGGACTGAGGCTTGGGGCCTGCTACCATTAAGAGATATGGGAGATGAGGAGAAACCAGTGGGGATTGGAGCAGGAGTGGCCCACCCTCCTCAAGACAAGCCACCACTAACCGGAATTTGGTGTTTGTCATTCTCATGAATGTTTTTACACTTAAACTACAAACGGATGGACCTCCAAACAATGTATAGAACTGTTCTGCATGATATTCTACTTCATTCCTATAGTATCATACATGATATATTTTCCCAAGGTGTTTTTTTCTGCACAACCTAATACTTGTGAAATTCATCCATTTTAATATATGTTGCTCATTTTTCACTGCTGTGTGGTATTCCTTTGTGGGCATATGCTACATTTGATTCATCTTCCTGCAGAGGAACAGGTAGGTTATTTTGCCTTTTCTACTATTGTAAATAATACTGTTATGAGCATTTTCACATGGGCCTCTTTATGCCTTGGGCAAGAGTTTTCTAGGGCAGCTGTTACCAAACTGTAGCACATATTACAATCACCTGCAGTTTTTATTGCAACAGATTTCTGAGCTCCAACACCAAAGTGTGATCAACAGATCTAAGGTGGGGCCTGAGAATTTGCATTTCTAACAAGATCCCCCATGATGCTATTACTGTAGGTTCAATGACCACATTTCAAGAATCACAGCACTAGAGCACATTCCAGGAGCACAGATGATGGCCATAGGTATGCATGCACATCTTCAGTTGTTTTTTGAGATAGTGTCAAATTTCCCTATAAAGTGGATGAGCCAATCTATCTTTCCACCAGCCAGTATGTGTCCTTATTGCCAAGGCTGGGTGCCGTCAGACTTTTAATTTATGCCAATCAAATCTTAATAATTTTTAAGGCCAGGTGCAGTGGCTCATGCCTGTAATCCCAACATTTGGAAGGCCAAGGTTGGAAGATCACTTGAAGCCAGGAGTTTAAGACCAGCCTGGCCAACATGGCAAAACCCCATCTCTACTAACAATACAAAAAATTAAAAAACTCAGTTAGCTGGGCATGGTGGTGCACACCTATAGTCCCAGCTACTCAGGAGACTAAGGCACAAGAATCACTTGAACCCGGGAGGCAGAGGTTGCAGTGAGCCAGGATCACACCACTGAACTCCTGCCTAGGTGACAGAGGGAGACTCTGTCTTGAAAAAATAATAAAGTTTTTAATTTATCATGGCATTTTTAATTGCATGTATCTGATACATATAAGTAGAAAACTTCAAGACATAACATCCTAGCATTAATAAGGATATTTCCAAGCTTCTTTCTTACATACAGATGGTCCTCTTAAGGTCTACAACCTTCTCAGTTACCTGTTTTCCACCAATCCTGCGAATGAACAAAATGGTATGGACAAAATCAGTAAGGCCGTTATGAGAGGAAAGTGGAAACCTGCTCCTTTTCATGGCAAATTTCATTACGGTTTAATTTACTGTAGTTGATTTTTTTTAATCAATGGTGACATAAAACTTAAAAAAAAAAAAACCAGTAAGCTGAAGAGAGTGAGGAAAATTTGGCATATAGGTAGGAAAACAACCTTCCTTCACCAGCATACCCTGCCACTTTTGGGGGAAATAAAGAATGCCTTACCCTCCATCACAGTCATGGAAGAGTTCCTTCCATTTTATACCACATTACCAAGAAGGCAAGGAGCCAGTACTCACGGATCTGGTTGGTGGATGCGCTGTAGAAGGCGTTGACAGTCGTCGGATTTGTAAACCACCTGTGGAAAAAGAAACAAATGCCAGAGAGTAATCATCATTATACAGGCAGGAGGGAAGCAGAGACAAACAGAGCGTGGCTGGGTTTATTAGCAGATAACCATGGAACAATGGGAAGGCTGCACACGAGGGGAAATTATTCCCTCAGTTTAGGGTTACTGTACTGCTCTAACCTGAACATGGCTCAATGAAGATGTATTAACATACCCAGTTATTTATTGTTACTAACTTAACAGAAAAAAAGTCAGCACACCAGTGCTTTTGAAAAAGTTTTAATGAGAAATTCTAAAACCTAAAGGGCTCATCCTGCAAAGGGAAACACAGCAATTATGTATTTTCCAGGCACTATTCAATGAGTTGATTGGACAAATGTGTTTCCACGCTGCATCACCTCTGACCTGTCCATCAAAAAGTTTTGGATTGGTGACAACACAGAGGTCCATTTAAAGAAAGGTGAATAAAGGTCAACTACGCTACCCAGAGGGTCTGCCTGCTCCAGTGGAAAGTGTACTGCCTCTATCACTAACTAGCTGAGTTGTGTGGGAAGAGTCATCTACCTTCCTGGGGTTTGGTTTTAGCTACAAAATTAAGGCACTGCATTAGGACATCTTAAGGATATTTTCTATCTAACAGGAGTCTACACCCAAATCTTAAATGCACAATAGTTTACTTGGATCAGCAGTCAGCAAATTTTTCTCTGTAAAGAGTAAGATCATAAATATTTCAGCCTTTGCAGGCAAAGAGGCAGAATCAAGGATATTATGTAGGCACTTAAGAGCAAAGTGTTCATTAATTTTATTTATGAAATTTAAAAAATATAATAGTGATCAAGTACAATTATTTCTTTTTTTTTTTTCTTTTAGAGACAGGGTTTCGGTATGTTGGCCAGGCTGGTCTCGAACTCCTGACCTCAAGTGATCCACCCACCTCAGCCTCCCAAAGTTCTGGGATTACAGCCGTGAGCCACTGCACCCAGTTGAGTACAGTGATTTCTAATACAGGCCTATTAATGAGAATAATGAAATTATTTTGGGGTGAGATAACATTTTGCTTAATTGGGGTTGAAAATTATGCTTCTCCAATTTGGAGGTTCCTCCAAAAACTAAAACTGGAGCTACCATATGATCCAGAATCCCACTGCTGGGTATATACCCAAAGGGAAGAAAATAACTGAAGAGATATCTGCACTCCCATGTTTGTTGCAACACTGGTCACAATAGCCAAGATTTGGAGGCAACCTAAGTGTCCATCAACAGATGAATAAAGACAATGTGGCACTTACACACGATGCAGTACTCTTCAGCCATAAAATGAATGAGATTCTGTCATTTGCAACAACGTGGATGGAACTGGAGGTCATTATGTTAAGTGAAATAAGTCAGGCACAGAAAAACAAACATTGCATGTTCTCACATATTTGTGGGATCTAAAAACCAAAACAATTGAACTCATGGACATAGAGAGTAGAAGGATGGTTACCAGAGGCTGGGAAGGGCAGTAGGGGAATGGGGAAGAAGAGGGGATGGGTATTGGGTACAAAAAATATATAGTTAGAAAGAATGAATAAGACCTAGTATTTGATAGCACAACAGGGTGAATATAGTCAATAATTTAATTGTGCATTTTAAAATAACTAAAATCGTATAAGTGCGTTGCTTGTAACACAAAGGACAAGTGCTTGACAGGATGGATGTTCCCATCTTTCATGATGTAATGATTAGGCAGGCCTGAATCAAAATATTTCATGCGCCCCATAAATATTTACAACCACCACGTACCCACAAAAATTAGTTTAATTAAAAAACAAAAACAAAAAACGAAGTGCTTCACCATCATCAAACCAACTGCAAACATTTATCTCTAAAACTCATTCTTAGTTCATGGCCCATACAAAAACAGGCAGCAGGTGAGATTTAGCCCACAGGCCACTGTGGCCAACCCCTAACTTAGATGGTTGTGAGTGTCAGTAACTGCTTGTTATGAGTAAAACCAAGTGATTCATCTTAAGCTAAACTGCTAAAAATAAACTCAAGTCCAGCAGTGGCATGCAAATATAGTTCCAGCTACTTGGGAGGCTGAGGCAAGAGGACTGTCTGAGCCCAGAAGTTCGAGTCCAACCTGGGCAACATAGTGAGACTCTGTCTGTAAAAAAAATAAAAAAGGAGAGAAAGAAAAAAAAAAAACTTCTATAAATCCCTTTCTAGAACAATTGTTTTACTCATTTATGTCTAACAGGGTAATTATGTCAGACTAACAAATTAATTTATATCGGGTTAATATGAAACTAATAGGAAACACAATTGTTAATACTAGTTGGTAAACTCATACCTTCTTCCCAGCTATTAAGAAGTCTATGATATGTCATTCTGTCATCATCATTATTAACTAACATTCATTGAGCACTTACTATATACTAAGCACATTCTATTCATCACTTTTTCCCCACAGCAACAGAGGAATTATGAGCCCATTTCACAGATGAGGATAACGAGACTTAGGAGCATTATGTACTTGTACAAGGTCTAACTTTAAACTAGTTCTCCTAAGCATTATATTATACTGAAGTTACTGGAAATCAAGAAAGAGCACCTCCTGTCTTTTCAAAACTGAAACCTAGACATATTTACATAAAATGCATATTCTTTTCCTTCAAATTTAAGGTATTTCAATGAAGCCCTAGTGTTTAACATAAACTTGCTGGTTGGCCTAGTTTCCTGAGGAAACAAGTGAGGGGAAAGCACCTCTATTGACCCTAACTTTGCTGCCTGTAGTAGGTAGAATGATGGCCAAGTCCTAATCCCTGGATCCTATGAATATGTTACATTACATAGTAAGAACGACTTTGCAGGTATAATTAAGCTTAAGGACCTTAAAATAGAGAGATTATCCTGGATATTCAGGTAGGCTCAATCTAATCACAAGCCCTTCAAAGCAGACAACCTTGTTTGGCTGGAATCAGAGAGATGCAACAGAGGAGGAAGTCAGAGCAGATACTGAAGAGTAGGAAGTCAGGGCAAATCCAGGGTGAGAAGGATGTGACACGCTGCTGGCTCTAAGATGTAGGTGCAATGTGTGAAGACTGGATAAAGGCCTCTGAGAGCAAAGACTGGCTTCCAGGCGATAGCCAGCAAGGAAGTAAAGCCCTTAGCCCTACAACCAGAAAGAACGGGATTCTACCAACAACCTGAATCCTCTTGGAAGGAGATTCTTCCCAGAGTCTCCCCATAAAAGCCCAGCCAGCTGTCACTGTAATTTTAGCCTTATGAAATCCAAAGCAGAGAAAACACCTAGATTTCCGACGTAGAGAACTGAGATAATAAATCTGTGTTGTTTTAAGCTGCTAAATTTGTAGGAGTTTGTTACATAGCAACAGGAAACTAGTATACTACCCAAAGAACCCAAAATTTGTAGGTCAACAGGGGAAAATCCAGGTGCCCTGGCTACTAAATAACATTGGACTTAATCATAATATATACAAAAGATAATGTGTATTCCTAGAGCTTGTCCCTTCTCTTTCTGTCCTTCCGAACTCCCCTCTCTTTAAAATAACTAAACATTCAGGTAAGGGCCATGCAGGGAAAATGTTCCTAACTGCTGGTAGACAAAGGTAGACAAATCAAACCAATCAAACAACCAATCTCTGAAACTAGACCTTAATGGGGCTTCTGAAGCTTCAACAAGAATAAATAAAACATCTTATTTCAGAAACGTGATCTTACCTTTCCTGACCTCCTAGGGCTCTTACTGACTCTAGGGCATGTTTGGGGCCTTGATAATACCCTGCGCTGACATGAAGCAGCTGCACCAGTAGATCCCACCAGTTGTTGATGCTGTTATTTCTTCTATTTGCTCAGGGCCCATGCCAAACCAGCTGTTAAACATTTTGTGTATCTCCCTTATTACATCCAAGCTTATTATATATTTAGTTTCACTATTCTCTAATGTAAGGCTACATATGCTAGTTTTAATATGTGTTTGCAAACTTTTCTACACTCCTCCCATTAAGAGATGGAATCTAAAATCCTCTCCCCTTGATTATGGGTTAGCCTTAATGACTCACCTCTAAAGAATCACATGCAGCAGAAATGACAATGTGACTTCCAAGGCTAGGTAATTAAAGGTGATACAACCACCCCCTGATGCAGAAAAGCACACCCTCTCTCCCTCCCTCTCTCTTTCTCAGGAAAGCTGCTCTTTGAAGTTTCTTTATCCGTCAACATGTTGTAAAGAAACCAAACATACATGAAGAGGACGTATATAGATATTCTAGTCAACAGTCAGCATCAACCACTAGACATGTAAGAGAGGTAGCCTTCCATATGACTCCAGCCTCAGCCACTATCTGACTGTAACTACATGAAAGACTACAAATGGCCAGGTGCAGTGGCTCACACCTGTAATCCCAGCGTTCTCGGAGGCTGAGGTGGGCAGATCACCTAAAGTCAGGAGTTCAAAACCAGCCTGGTCAACATGGTGAAACTGCATCTCTACAAAAACTACAAAAATTAGCCAAGTGTGGTGGTGGCACCTATAATCTCAGCTACTCAGGAGGCTGAGGTAGGAGAATCACTTGAACCTGGGAGATGGAGGTTTCGGTGAGCAGAGATCACGCCAATGCACTCCAGCCTGGGTGACAGCACGACTCTCTCTTGAAAAAAAAAAAAAAAAACAGAAAAGAAAGACCCCACACAAGAACCATGCAACTTAGCCTAGTGACCCCCAGAACGATGAGAGATAAAAATAAATACTGTTGTTTCAGTACTCCAAATTTGGGGGAAATTTGTCACATAGCCATACAAAAATGGAATGCTGAAAAGCTGGCTATCCACAGACTAAGTCCAACCCGATAGGCTGAATCTTCCAAGGAAACTGTTTTGCTTGCCCAACACAATGGCTTAACAAATTATTGAATTGGAATTCCTTTAAGTGGTGTGTGTCCTTAGTTTTCCACAGTCCCCACTACTCCCTGTTGTTTACACCCATGTAGGTCAACCATTTGTTA